GCTTCAATGCCTCTAGCTGTAGCCGCTCGAACTCCCGAAGAAGGACATCTTGCTCAATAAAGAGACAGGACAACTGGCCATAACTCCTCCGACTAAGGGCATCGGCTACCACGTTATCTTTCCCCGGATGGTAGCTAATCGTGCAATCGTTGTCCTTGACCAGTTCCAACCACCTACGCTGCCGCATATTTAGCTCCTTCTGAGTGAAAATGTACTTTAGGCTCTTGTGGTCGGTAAAAATCTCACACTTGCCTCCATAGAGGTAGTGTCGCCAAATCTTCAAGGCGTGAACGACTGCTGCTAACTCAAGATCATGAGTGGGGTAGTTCTGCTCGTGAGGCTTCAGCTGCCTCGAAGCATAGGCTACAACCCTCCCCTGCTGCATAAGAACACATCCCAAACCCAACTTCGAAGCATCACTGTAGATGGTGAACTCCAAGGTAGGGTCTGGAATGGACAGAACGGGTGCGGTAGTGAGTCTCCTCTTCAACTCCTGGGAACTCTCCTCACACCTAGAACTCCAATCGAACCTCACGGCTTTCTTCGTAACGTTGGTTAGTGGCTGGGCTATCTTCGAGAAACCCTCAATAAACCTCCGGTAGTATCCTGCTAACCCCAGGAAACTACGAACATCAGCGGCACTTCTTGGCGTATCCCACTTGCTTACTGCCTCGATCTTGCTGGGATCCACCTCAATGCCCCTCGCTGTCACAATGTGGCCAAGGAATGCCACACGATCCAACCAAAACTCGCACTTCGAGAACTTAGCATACAACTTCTCGCGGCGAAGTGTCTTGAGCACAATCCTCAGATGCTCCTTGTGTTGGTCGATGCTCCGAGAATAAACCAGGATGTCGTCGATAAAACGATAACAAACTGCTCCAGGAAGGGATGAAAGACCCTATTCATAAGGTCCATAAACACAGCCGGGGCATTGCTAAGTCCAAATGGCATAACCACGAACTCATAATGGCCATATCGGGAACGGAAGGCAGTCTTAGAAATATCAGACTC